GGCCAACATGTTCCCCGGATATGGAATTCAAACGTAACTCTTCGTTTCATTCATTAGTACGTACACCACCTAAAACCCCCGGTCGTGTCTCGCCTCCAAAACTAGGTGCCACCTTGCGATCTACGCTGAGAAAGCGGCTATTATTAGACTAAGCAGAAAGAATTCCTCTCACACCAGGGAAGATAGATTTCAGTGACATCAGCCTCCTCAAAAGTTTGATGTACAATAAATTGATTGTTGAAAATACATCAGTCATTTCTACTACAGAAATACAAGTATGTAAGATGCAGAATATTGTACATTAGCGTATGATGAATGAGTGGATACTTACTCATTGTTTTATGATGCGGTTGCCATGTTTCTTTACTAATTAAAATAAAGCTGTATAGAGAATGTCTTCTACATTCAAATTTATTTTGTAAAGACTGATTTTGAAATGAATCAAATTAATAGATTGATAATTTATGAACACTCAAATATTAAGACGAAAATTAAATTTTATGGTTCTTTTAATTGATGTGAAATTATTAAAATAATTTTGTAGTAGAAAGTGGCTAAATAACTATAATTTAAAATCATTGATGCATTTTTTTAAAGAATTTACACAATATTTGTCATTAGTTTTGAACTAAAATTGAACTAGGTTTGATATCTGTTACGTTATAGAAAAATATTAGATATGTAATTTTTTTTTTATTAAAGATAGGATGAAATTACTTATATAATATACATTTAAGTTGCTTAGTGGGGGTTCACTACGTCACAACTGTGTAGAAAATCTACATAGGTGTGATGTCATGTTAATTTTAATTCAATGTATTACAGTTATTTAAAGAATATAAAAAACATATTTAATATTTTTCTTTAATACATTAAATTCATTAAGATAAAAAGAAAATATTTTATTCGTGATCCCTATCATAATAAAATCTAAATTTGAAAATAAAAGAAAGTTAGTTTGTAATATATTTAGTGATAGTAAGTATGTTTGATTGTGATTAATTTTAATACAATCGACAGCAAGTCAGGTGATACCAGGGTTGCCAGCTTTCCCGAATCGCACGTCCTGATTTCTTAATTGTTTTGTCCCGTTTTTTTGATAAAATTCGATAAAAAAATATGATTTTTTTTTTGTAATAGTTTTGAAAAGTACACCTCCTAGTATGACTGTTTATATAAAAAATTAATAACAAAAAAGTATTAAATTTTTCCGCGTACTTACGCTTATAATAAGGATTTATATTGGATTTTAAGTCCGATTTCTTCTCATGACATGTCCCGAATGTTGTTTCTTAAAAGGTGGCAACCTTGTGTGCTACAAAGCTGCATCAGTTGTACATTTCATTTACATCTACATTGTTGAGTTCAAAATCGATTGCAGAAATTTTATATACTTTTGTGTTAACATGACATGCAGCTGTGTACTTAGCAAATTATATTTTTAATGGAATATGGACTGTATGATAATATGCCTTAGAAAAAAGATTAAATAAAAATCATGGAATATGCTTTATTTTTATCGTAACAAAATATTTCATGATATCGTTTCAATAAGTACCTACGTTTTTGTAAAGTATATTTTACGCTTATAATAATAAAGTGTATGTTTTGATTAAGTTCTCGTTTTATTCATTTTGATAGCTACCTACTACGTTTAAAGTCCTAAAATATCAGATTAGCATCTGCAGTTTTTCCTTTTCGCTGTACATTTTATTTGTTAATAATAATTAATTACTTAAGTCTATCATTTACATGGACATACCTACCTACATAACATGTTGCTTCTAAATAATCCTAACGGTCGCCCTTTAGGGTAATCTACTCTATTCAAGAGGTAAAAAGGAAGGCCATATATAAAATAAACCTTATAAATAATAATAATAGTTGTTTATTTACAAGAATATGGTACAAATGATATTACATAGTTATTAACAATAGTTTCTCATATTCTACAGTATATGAACAGTGTGCAAATTTTTGTTTGTTTTGTTATGTTACATAAAATACAAAGAATTTAATGTTACAGTATAGATCATATCAATAATTAACAATTAACCATTTGAATACAATATTGTATTTACGAATTATCATTACAAAAGTCAAATTAAATGTTATCTAAATTTTAATTGCATTACCAATTTTATCCTTTAAAAAATCTTTAATATTATGATACATTTTATTGGTTAAATATTCATGCAGCTGTTTTTGGAACTGCGTCTAAGTCATGTCAGTGAGATGTTTTGGCAGCTTGTTGCAAATACATATAGCCCTATAAAAAGCATTTTCGGAGATTGATTAAGGTTCTTGCAGTTAATGCACGTAGGTGGGGTGACGCAGTGGAGGGACACTTTTTGCAGGCATGTTTTGTAAGCCCGCAATGAGTACAGTAGATCGTCGGTAGTAAGGTTAAACTGCGCATTGCGTTACACCAACTCAGATGTCAGCTGGTCATGTGGAGTATCTTCATGGATGCTATTGAGGAGGATAATTGGGTAGGATTTTCCTCTAGGGCTCCGCAGTGAAAGAATTGGATGCTGTGGCGCGCATTTGGTCGGCGGCCTTATCCCTGTCTTGCTCTGTCTCGTATTGTAAGCGGATTTTCCCCTTGGAGACGTGTCGGACGTTTATAGGGGACTAAGTTGAGATTGAACACATTATACACATTATATATACATATATACAAGACTACATGGACGGTAGTAAGCTCGTTACCTTGCCTTAAAAATAATCGGAAATTCAAACTATTTTATTACCCGACTGCGCGACGCAAAGGAGGGTAATGTGTTTTTCAGTCTATGCATGTATGTATGTTTGTTTCTATGTGGCGTTCTAGAGACCAAATGGGAAGGCCGATTTTGATGATTCATACATCAATCGATTCGTCTTAACCTTGCGAGTGTCACTAAAGACATGACAGTAATCAAAATTCACCACAACGACCACCAGACGCCATATTGTCAAAATGAAAAAAATAAAAATCTATGAACTATGTCAAGTGGGGTGTCGTTGAATTGCGATTTTAAAATTATAGGTTCCTTTTATCATTTTTCATTTTAAAAAATAGTTTAGGATATATAACGATTTAAAGTTGTTTAACAAAACAGTATCGGTAATTTTCTTACTTATTGATTTGTTTTTACTTAAAGTATATACGATATGCAAACAAAAAAAAAAAACAGTGGAAAAGCATAAAAAACAAATATTTTTGTTAAAAAAATAAAGCATTTGTAGCTTTGAGCCGAGTTAGGTCTCTAGAGGGACTAATCATCAGTAGTCTAGACCACCGCAAGTTACTTAATAATCCCCACTATATTAATTCCCTCATTGAAATGATTAGATTGCGATATATTTTGCCATCTTATAAGTCAACGAATCGTAACTAAAAAGAATAAAATAAAAATCAATAATTTAAAGAAAAACAAAATAAGCCGTCTGCGTAAAACGAATTTTAAAAAATACATGAAAAAATTTACTTAAATAAAAACTCAAAAGAAAGAAACAAGCCCAGTAGTTAAGAATTCTGTTAAGTGGGCTTGTTTCTTTCTTTTAAGTTTTTATTTACGTTAATTTTTTTCATGTATTTTTTAAAATTCGTTTTTACGCAGTCGGGTTTTTTTGCTCATTCAGTTGAGTATTCTGAAATTTTAATTGTCTGTGATCTGGCATTTTTATGTCTAAACGTATTTTTAAGTCATAATTGTTATCAAAGGTATATATTTATTCTCCCCTATACGAAGTTTACATCTGTTATGTTATTTTCGAAATTTAAAACGCAGTTTGACTTAACTGAACTTATATTAAAAATCAAATCAAAAACATTTATTCATTTTTTTCTAGCTGCATAAGTATAATCGAAACGAAACTTGCTAGAATGGGCGTGTTTGTTGTTAATAGCATTTAATTATGAAATTAACGTTATCATTAGCAAGGTAATTTGCTAATTAGGGTTTAAATGAAGAGTACGTATACAAATAGCATGACATGCATTGATATTTGATGCATTCGTGATATAGTAGTGTTTAGATTAAGACTATTGATTTGTTGGTAAGTTATTTTTGTTTATTATATGATACAGTTATTGCCTTAGCCATAAACATTGTCAGTGTCATAAAATGAAAGATTTCATATTATGGTTAAAATTTATTTAGAAATTTCTTTAATTTAATTTAATCGGATATTGCGGACTCGCGTTGTAAATTTGTCTCGTTATTGAAGCCTAAATTTTCCGCCCTGGGTGTAGCTGTGCATACACGACAGTTTAAAATTATACCAGATTGAAAAGAGAACGAGTTGAGAATTCTCTTCACATGTATTCACGCTGTGATTCTGAGAGTCAAGCCACTTTCGTTAAGGTCTTTAACTTGTTTTCCCTCATACATATTTCCGAAGACACTTTAAATAGTAAGTCCCAGCATTGCATGCATGCATTTTCAGTCTTCATACACCTACCAATTCATAGAAGACTTGTGTAGTGGGCTATGGCCTGTTTTTGTGTTATTTAGCAGTCTGCACAAAATAATATCTGTAAAAATGAAAAAAATAAATCATCATAATGGAATTTATTATGAATTTCTCTCATAGTAAAACATATTTCCATATTTTGTTATTTTAATATTCTGCATATGTTGCTTACATTCAATTACATTTGTCTTTAAATGTTTATCGAACTTTGGTGCATAATTATCGTATCTGTAGCATGTATCGTTTAACCTGCTACAAACCTGTTTCCTTTCCAAAAGTTACTGTAAACAATGCAGGATGCAAACTATTAATGAGTCACTAATGTCCAGTCGCGCAAATTTTCATTAGCAAATAATTACTAAGCTCCAAGGAATTTTCTAAATGTGTATAGATAGTGTTATGCACTTAAATTAATGATAATATAATATACGTTTAGTGTAACTGATGATGGAATTCCTTTAGTATTGGTTACTTCACTGCTAGTATTGCAATGAGAATATTTGACCTAAGTTTACTGTCTGAATTGTTGTTAAGTAACCATGGAGCAAGGAGCTATGGAGGGTGCGGTGACCCCAGAAGGAGAGCGTCGCACACGCGCAGCCCTCGCTGAGATTACAGCACGGCTCACAAACACTAGAGACATGTCTACTACCCTGCCTTCTGGATACCTCAGTCCAGCACCTTCACCCAGTGAGCTACTCATACGGCAAAGAGGTAGTAATAAATTATACATGTATACTAATATTATAAAGCAGAAAAATATCTTATTTTGTTTGAAGGGAGTAATCTTCAGAAATACTGATTCGATTATGAAAATCCTTCAACATCATACGTGGGTGCTATAATTTTCGAAGGCAAAGTCCCGTGAAAGCATGTTTTTAGTTGATTTGAACATTTTTATTTTACAGTAGAATGTAGTTTTATTTATGTATTGAGATCGTCGAATACCATTTTATTTGATTCTTTGGTTCAGTCGTAGTAGTACCTAATCTTCTCAGGGACCTCTTTTTATAACTTATATAAATATATATGGGGCTAAGACCGCTTCGGTGAATTTTTGCCATCATGACTTATTGTTTTTGACACCGTACTCCTACTTTCTATGGAAGTAATTGTCACGAGTCTAAAAGCGCGCGCCACCCTGCTATGATTCTCAACCATGTCACAGACCACGGTGACAAGATACAAAAGTCACGGTGATGAAAAATCACCAGTGGGTACATAACCTTATGTTAAAGATACCTAGCTAACCATATTATATGGTACACCGTATTAGATTTTGAATAGTGTAACTTATAGAAACCACGTAATATATATCGTAAATAAAAAAAAAACTAAACATGTTATGCAAAATATCAGTCTTCAATTCTTATAGGTATCAACTTTAAAATTTATTTGCTGGTTTTGATGAAGTATATTCATTTGAAGTTAAAAAAATGAGTTAAATAAAAGCTGGCAATGAAATAAATACAGCAAACATTATATGATTGTTAAATCATGTGAAATTTTTAACCTTAAATTTCATAATTTAGTCAATTACTATAACAAAAAAAATTTGGTACAGGGTAATTTACAAAATAAAAATATTTTATAACAAACATTACACAATGTGAGCAACTTTGTATCTAAATACAGTATATTATATCTGAGATTTGATAATAATTCATTATGATTATTATTATATTTGAACAATTTTGCATTCACAATGCTGTACTGAAAAATATTGTTAATGGAAAATGCTGAAAAATCAAATCGCAATCCGGGCGAGTGCGAAAGGTGGGTTCGAGTCCTATCTCAGAGTGCGAGGGACTGACTGAACTTTTTAACAATTTTTCATGAAGAATATTTTCCATTATGATTATTTTCATTAATTAATTAAAAACAATTTCCGTGTTGTGTTTGTCATATTCTTGTTGTGCAATAAAGTTTATATAATCTGTCACATTAACAATATCTTATCTTATTATTAAAGGATATTTAAATTTTGTTTTTTCAGGTCGAAAAATTTGGCCTACAACATGTTCCCCGGATATGGAATTCCAACGTAACTCTTCGTTTCATTCATTAGTACGTACACCACCTAAAACCTCCGGTCGGGTCTCGCCTCCAAAACTGGTTGCCACCTTGCGATCTACGCTAAGAAAGCGGCTATTATTAGACTAAGCAGAAAGAATTCCTCTCACACCAGGGAAGATAGATTTCAGTGACATCAGCCTCCTCAAAAGTTTGATGTACAATAATGTACAATAAGTTAATTGTTGAAAATACATCAGTCATTTCTACTACAGAAATACAAGAATATTGTACATTAACGTATGATGAATGAGTTGATACTTACTCATTGTTTTATGATGCGGTTGCCATGTTTTTACTTATTAAAGTAAAGCTGTATAGAGAATATCTTCTACATTCAAATTTATTTTGTAAAGACTGATTTTGAAATGAATCAAATTTATAGATTGTTTATTTTATGAACACTCAAATATTTAGACGAAAATTAAATTTTGTGGTTATTTTAATTGATGTGAAATTATTAAAATAATTTTGTAGTAGAAAGTGCCTAAATTACTATAATTTAAAATCATTGATGCATTTTTTTAAAGAATTCAAACAATATTTGTCATTAGTTTTGAACTAAAATTGAACTAGGTTTGATGTCTGTTACGTAATAGAAAAATATTAGATATGTATTTTTTTTATTAAAGATAGCATGAAATTACTTATATAATAGGCATTTAAGTTGCTTAGTGGGGGTTCACTACGTCACAACTGTGTAGAAAATCTACATACGTGCGATGTTACAGTTATTTAAAGATTATAAAAAAACATATTTAATATTTTTCATTAATACATTAAATAATACAATTAATTCATTAAGATAAAAAGAAAATACTTTGGTCATGATCCCTATCATAATAAAATCTAAATTTGAAAATAAAAGAAAGTTAGTTTGTAATAAATTTAGTGATAGTAATTATATTTGATTGTGATTAATTTTAATATAATCAACAGCAAGTCAGGTGATACCAGGGTTGCCAGCTGTCCCGAATCCCACGTCCTGATTTCTTAATTGTTTTGTCCCGTTTTTTGATAAAATTCTATAAATAATATGTTTTTTTTTTGTTATGGTTTTGAAAAGTACACCTCCTATTATTACTGTTTATGTAAAAAAATCATAACAAAAAGAAAAGTTCAATTTTCCCGCGTACTTACGCTAATAATAAGGATTAATATTGGATTTTACGTCCGATTGTAAAATCCATTCGACATTTCCCGAATTTTGTTTCTTAAAAGGTGTTAACCTGTGTGCTACAAAGCTGCATCAGCTGTACACTTCATTTACATCTACATTGTTGAGCTCAAAATCGATTGCAGAACTTTTGTGTTAACCTGACATGCAGCTGTGTACTTATCAAATTATATTTTTAATGGAATATGGACTGTATGATAATGTGCCTTAGAAAAAGTCTGATAAGAGCAAAACTACATATTGATGCGAAACTGGAACGTTATAACTCGATGAAGAAGAATAAGTCACGTAAAATTGACCAACAACGGCTGACAGTAAATGCTCACGGTTATAGAACCCTACTGAAACCATTAATCCAAAATAAACCGCTGGAAGACTTAGATGTTAATGAGCTGAATAAGCACCTGAATCGGGGGATGTTAGCAGCCGCATCAATTGTAGCGAAAAAAGTAGGAAATCATCAAAGCAAACTGTCCGAAGATTCAAAAAAGCTTATGCAGCAAAGACGTCAAATGTCCTATTCAAGCCATGGGGATGAATATGTGGCGCTTTGTAAGGAGGTGAGAACCAAAAGAGAGAGAGATATAGGAGAACACAAAGAAAGAACCGTCAAAGCCATTATAGAGAAATACAAAGGACCTAAAGTATTCAGAAAAGAGCTAAAGCCTGGAAGCCGTGTAATAACAAAACTGAAAAATAATGAAGGAAACTTGGTCATGGAAAGAGCACAAATGCAGAAAGTAGTGGAGGAGTATTACTCAGCCTTATATGCCCAAAGAGGACAGGAACCAAGCAAAACAAACCGCTCTAGTATACAAAACGTAGGCTCAGAGGATATCCCCGATATCACAAAGGAGGAAGTGGCTTGGGCTCTGTCCAGGATGAAGATGGGAAAGGCTAGTGGTGATGATGATATCTTACCCGAGATGTTGAAGGAAGGCGGCGATGCGCTATTAGAGGCCTTAGTCTTACTTCTCAATAAATGCCTCCTTTCAGGAAAAATACCCGAGGATTGGGTTAGCGCTGTAGTAATTATACTATTTAAAAAAGGCTGTAAGACTGATTTAAATAACTACAGACCTATTAGCTTGCTGTCTCAGACATATAAGTTGTTCTCTAAAATACTAACAACCCGACTAACTACTAAATTAGATTTTTACCAACCAATAGAACAAGCGGGTTTTCGGAAAGGTTATTGCACCGCAGAACACATCTTAACACTGCGTGTTCTAATAGAAAAGGCCATTGAATATCAGATGCCGTTGTGGATGGCATTCATAGACTACAAGAAGGCCTTTGATAGTGTGGAAATCTGGGCTGTGCAAAATTCCTTAAAGAATGCACGAATAGATCACAGATATAGCGATATAATAAATAAGATCTACCACAACGCCAAAATGAAAGTGTCGCTTCCACAACTTACAAGCCCCATTGATATTAAAAGAGGAGTTCGACAGGGGGATACATTGTCGCCCAAACTTTTTACATTGGTTTTGGAGGACGTATTTAAAGAGCTGGACTGGCAGAATAGAGGGATATCAGTATCAGGGGAATATCTATCAAACCTAAGATACGCAGATGACATAGTCATATTCTCACACACCCCGAAAGAGCTGCAGGAAATGATCCAAGAACTACAGGTTGCGTCCCTAAAAGTTGGATTAGAAATGAACTTGGACAAAACAAAGGTGATGACAAGCGACACAAACAGCACATTACCGATCAAAGTAGGGGGAGTGGAAATAGAACGGGTTCAGAAATATGTCTACTTGGGCCAGGAAGTGAAATTAGGGAAAGCAAACCAATGTAGCGAGATCGACAGAAGGATAAGACTGGGTTGGGCAGCATTCTCAAAACTCGACTTTGTCTTCAAAATGAAACTAACAGCCCAGCAAAAAGCTCAAATATTCGATCAATGCGTCCTCCCCGTACTAACATATGGATCTGAAACTTGGGTTTATACGAAAGACACAATAAATAAACTGAGGGTGGCGCAAAGGGCAATGGAGAGAAAGTTGGTTGGTGTCACTATAAGAGATCGAAAGACGAACGTATGGCTTAGAAACCAAAGCAAAGTCACCGACATCGCTCGTAGAGTGGCAAGGCTTAAGTGGGAGTGGGCCGGCCATATAGCCAGAAAAGAAGACTCTTGGTGCAAGCGGATATTGGGCTGGAGACCATGGGATCAGAAAAGACCAAGGGGAAGACCACAAATGCGCTGGAAAGATGACATCACAAGGATGGCAGGCAGCAACTGGACTCTTACTGCCCAAGACAGAGAGAAGTGGAGGGGGCTGAGGGAGGCCTACACCAATTCATTGGTTGATTATGGCTGAGAAGAAGAAGAAGAAGAAAAAGATTATATAAAAGTCATAGAATAGGCTTAATTTTTATCGTAACAAAATATTTCATGATATCGTTTCAATAAGTACGTTTTTGTAAAGTATATTTTACGCTTATAATAATAAAGTGTATGTTTTGATTAAGTTCTCGTTTTATTCATTTTGGTAGCTACATAAACGTAGTGTTTAAAGTCCTAAAAGTTTTTCCTTTTCGCTGTACATTTTATTTGTTACTAATAATTAATTACTTAAGTCTATCATTTATATGGACATACCTACCTACATAATATGTTGCTTCTACATACTACATAATACTAACGGTCGCCCTTTAATAATAATAATA